TAATATAAATATATATATTCATCTCTCTAGACTGAGCTTTGCCTTCACCTCCATCCCCTGAAGGCTCTCTCAACTCTAGCTTCCACTGCCTGGAAGTTGCCTCCTCTCGTCTTCCACAGGACCCAGCACTTGCCTAACTGGACTTACTAACTTTTCATAACTGTTCATTTACATGTTCACATGCCACCAAACTGAGTTCTTTGAAGAAAAGAATTTCAGCTTAGCTTAATTTTGCAGCCCAAATGCTATGCCTGACACTAAGTAGACCCTCAATAAATGCTTGGTGAATAAACAAAATCAAACCGTATGATGGCCAGGCACGGTGAATAAATAAAATCAAACCGTATGATGGCCAGGCACGGTGGCTCGCGCCTACAATCCCAGCACTTTGTGAGGCCAAGGGAGGAAAATCACCTGAGGAATTCAAGGCTGCAGTAAGCTATGATCGCACCACTGCACTCTAGCCTGGGAGACAAAGCAAGACCCTGTCTCTAAAAAAAGATAAGAATAAAAATACTTTTTTATGAAATCTGCAGGAACTAGTAAGGTTAAAGGCCAGATTCTGGTTCTTTAGCATTACCATTAAGATGCAAACACAGTCTCTCTTTACCACCTCTTAATTGTAATACTAATAAATTCATAATTATCATGATTCCTATAATCAGGATGCTGTTGTTGAAAGCCAATTACCATAATAGCAGAAACCAAGTCATCACAAAACTATACATATATTTATACACACATACTCATTATTATTATTATTATTTTTTTTTTTTTTTGAGTCAGGGTCTTTCTCTGTTGCTCAGGCTGCAACATAGTGGCACAATCATAGCTCACTGCAGCCCAGCTTCCAGACTCAAGTGATCATCTCACCTCAGCCTCCCAAGTAACTAGGACCACAGGCACGTGCTACCATGCCTGGCTAATTGTGTGTGTGTGTGTGTGTGTGTATGTGTGTGTGATGAGGTCTCACTATGTTGCCCAACTTCTATCTTCAAGCCATCCTCCACCTCAGCCTCCAGAAGTGCTGGGATTACAGGCATGAGACACTGTGCCCAGACAAATTACCTTCTTGAACAAACCAAACAAAATATTTCACAGAACACTTCCTCCCTGAGGCAAAATGATACAATTTGAAAGTAGCTGCTACACTATCAATTAAAAATTTGCCTTCCCAAGGTTAGATGAGCAAACCAGGACGAAAAAAAAAAAAAAAAACTTGCAGTTTCACCCTTAGATAAGTGGGGAAAAATCCCTCAACTATAAAGACCTGTCCAAGGGCCCGGCGCGGTGGCTCACGCCTGTAATCCCAACACTTTGGGAGGCCGAGGTGGGTGGATCACCTGAGGTCAGGAGTTCAAGACCAGCCTGGCCAATGTGTGTGGAACCCTGTCTCAACTAAAAATACAAAAATTAGCCAGGCGTGGTGGCAGGTGCCTGTAATCCCAGCTATGCGGGAGGCTGAGGCAGGAGAACTGCTTGAACCCGGGAGGTGGAGGCTGCAGTGAGCTGAGATCACACCACTGCACTCCAGCCTGGGCAACAAAAGCAAAACTCCATCCAAAAAAAAAAAACCGGGTGTGGTGGCTCATGCCTGTAATCTCAGCACTTTGGGAGGCCAGGACAGATCACCTGAGGTTGGGAGTTCGAGACCAGCCAGACCAACATGGAGAAACCCAGTCTCTACTAATACACAGTTAGCCAGGTAAGGTGGTGCATGCCTGTAATCCCAGCTACTCGGGAGGCTGAGACAGGAGAATCACTTGAACCCAGGAGGCAGAGGTTTTGGTGAGCCGAGATCGCGCCATTGCACTCCAGCCTGGGCAACAAGAGCAAAACTCCATCTCAAAAAACAAACAAAAAAAAAACCTGTCCAAAACAAAGGATGGGTAGAGGGCAAAAATAAGGTTGAAATCCTTCAGTATAATTCTCTGAAGTTACCTTAGTTAATAAGAAACAAAGAACAATGGTAATGGTAGTTAAACCTGGTATCTTCACATTTAAAATACAAAAGCACCCTTTCAATATCCATAGAGCTCCTTTTTTTTTTTTAACCATACTTCCAAAATGGTTTAGATTCTTTTACACTCTCATTCCTTCAATATTTGTTTAGCACTTACTCTGTTCATGGTACTGTGCTAGACCTCAGTCATGTTATTAAAGGAAAAAAAAAAAAAAGTCAGCTATACGGCCTGCCCTCTAAAGCTCACGTCCTAAAAGAGAAAGCAGACATTCAACTAATATTCAACTAACTGTTTAACTGTGTTAAGTAACAATGGCGAATACAAGTGTCAATACATAACACAGAATCCATCCCATGCTCTTCCATACCAAAAGTCAGTTGTCTTATAGTTTCCTGCTTCAGAAACCTAATTTCCACTCCACATGTACACCCCTTTCAGCAGTTATTCTGTATAACTGCCAGGTTTCCAACTGTAGCTCTCTGATATATCTCCAGGGAAAATAAAGAAATTAAACTACTTCAAAAGTAATTTTTCCACCAACTGCTTTTGTAGTATCAGTTCTTTACATCTCTCTTATAAAGCATCACATGAGGGAATACAAAAGCTCTTTTGAGTGTTTTCAGTCTTTACCCATTTATGGGGAAAAAAGACTTTAAAATAAGCATTTATAAAGCACTTACTATCTGAAGACAACACAAGGGGAACGCAACGACAAGAAAAAAAGATCTGTGAGATTTGTGTTCGAGCAAAACCGATCACATGGATTTTTTCCTTTGGATACCACTGGATTTATAATTTTAATATAAATGGAGTATTGAGTAATTGCACTAGAAGAATATTTAGGTTATAAATGTGTACTTTTTTTCCCCCAAGGAAGCCTCATTATAACTAAAATAATATCAACAAAGTATTTTAGTGAACATTGGACGCTTGCTAAATCGACCTTTGTTTTCCAGGATGATAGGAAGTCTGCTGTCAGATACAGGAACTTATATAATAAAAAAGGGGGAAAGATCAGAACAGAAAATTACACGAAACTTCTGGTAAATTAGGACATCTATTTAGTTGAAAACATAAATCTAGGAAAGATTCTTTATAAGAAAAAGGAGATTTCCTATTACAAACACTGCTCCCATTGAAATAGCTATTTTATTGGCATTTAGAAAGTCAGACACTAGTAAGGAAGAAAATGTTTTCTATGCCAATATTTACCCTGCAGAACAGACAACAAAAGGGGGGGTAGAGCTTAAGGCAAAACAGGAGATATCTAGGTTAACAGCCTTCTAAAATGAAAGTTGAAAAGCACTGGCCCGAGTTCCCAAGAAGGCTCTGGACCCTCTTTCCACTTAAAATTGTAAGACAAGTCATTACCTCAGTTCAGAATGGTATGGCACAACACTGCCTGAAAGCAGAGAAACATGCTATGTGACCTTCTAAGGACCCTTGCTTTTTTTTTTAACTCGAGTTAAACAAAATCCATTATGACTTTTTCAGTTATTCATTCATTCCACAAATGCTTATTGGGTGCCTAGTATGCACATAGCACTGTGCTTAAGCCATGGTGGTCCTCAAGAAAACTCTAATGACTTGGGCATTATATTCTAATGGCGAGACACGCTAAAGCAGCAATTCCATAAACGAACAGAGCGCACGTTTAAGGGGGAAAGGGGCACTTAGGGAAGGCTTCTTTGAGGAAGCAATATTTAAGCAAAGATGTGAAGATGAACGGGTAACAACAAGGATGAAGGGTTAAAGCCCATATTTCAGGCTTGGCCGACTGGATGGTTAGAGTCATTTATTGGTAAAGGAACAGCGGATGAGCACCAGATTTGGAGGAAAGTTAACCACCAGCATTTATTTACTGCGGTCCTAGCAGGTTGCCAGGCGCTTCCCAAATTCTTCTAATCATTTTGCGCAGCTGAAGCTATTACTTTCAGTTTACATACACAAAAGAGAGGCTGAGCGGGGTTAAAATGACGTGTCCAAGACGAAATAAAGAACTCTGACTTCTGTATCAGGTTTGTTATGTGCTCGAAAGCCCGCGCTCTTTCCACTCCACAGCTCCTTCTTGTGCACCTCCCTTTCATCTGGTGGCCCCAGCGCCACAAGCTGCCGCTGAGGAAGTCCCTGCCGGGAGCAGAAGAGGAGGCACCAGCAGGATGGCCTGGCAAGGCGCTCCCCTCCCGGGCCTCATCTGCCAAACGATCATCTCCTCCTCCGAAGTTGTACGCATGAAAGGCGAGTGGAAACTTCACTAAAATGAAGGCGACTGACACAACAGAAGGAACGCATCCTTCCGGGGGCTTACGAAAATAATAAGTTTAAAAAAAATAGGAAGGGAATTCTCTCGCTCTATGATCACTGAGCGCTCTCCTAAGGAAAAGGAAATCTCCCGGAGGATGCCGAGTCGGGGCGGCGGGCTTAGGATGCTCCCACACTCCCCGACCTCCATCCAATCCCCAGGACCCGCAGGACCCCCCGGAGGAACTCCCGCCAGTCCGCCCGGGGCCACGCGGCACAAGGTGACACGGACCGCGCCGCGCTGGCCCCTCAGCCGCCTGGGCGAGGCCGGGAGCAGGGAGAGGGGCGTCCGCCGGCCCGCATTACCTTGTACTTATCAAAGCCAGCCAGCTGCTCCGGGCTCACGTATTCGTAGCCAGCCATGACGACCCGAAAACCGAGCGCCCACTCGGCAGCGACTCCCGGGTACGAGGCTGTGGCACACCAGCACCGCACCGGCTGGGCAAGGATGGGAAGGACTGGGCTGGCGGAGAAGGTAGGAGAGCCTCGCTCCGCCCACCGCGCACGCGTAGCCGCCTCGGCCCCTTTGGCCGCCTCTCAGTGCGCAAGCGCAGCCCACGCTTCTCCCCGCCCACCGAGGGGAGGTTGCTAGCCCGCTTGAGCGGCCCGCCCCCGACACTGTCGCTGTCCAATCGGCGTGGATCAGGCAACACTAAGTCCCGCCTTCCAGCTCTTTTCGTCGCTTCATTTGCTAGCGTCAAAATTGGTGAGCTGAGGTAAGACAAGAGATGGGGTGAAAGGTCAATTTCCCGCCGGGCTTTGCTCCTGGTCGTGGGGTAAGGTGGGCTTTTCAGTGGTATCCTCACTTGAGTGGAGATCTGGGGGATACCCTTTTAGTCCTGGGGATAGAGTGACTGCTTGCGAGTCGGTTCAGCAGTGCCTCAGGTAAGAGGACTTAGTTCTTCCACTGCAGCGAAGTAAAAGAGGAAGGAGGTCTATTCCGCGGGCCGCTCCCGGCTCCTAGTACGGTGCGCTGCTTGCAGTAGAAATTTAGTAAAAGGGCCGGGCGCGGTGGCTCAAACCTGTAATCCCAGCACTTTAGGAGGCCGGGGTGGGCGGATCACGAGGTGAGGAGATCAAGACCGTCCTGGCTAGCACGGCGAAACCCCGTCTCTACGAAAAATACAAAATAGTCGGGCGTGGAGGCGGGCGCCTGTAGTCCCAGATATTTGGGAGGCTGAGGCAGGAGAATGGAGTGAACTCAGGAGGCGGAGCTTGCAGTGAGCCGAGATTGTGCCACTGCACTCCAGCCTGGGCGACAGAGCGAGACTCCGTCTCAAAAACAAAAAATAAATTTAGTAACCGTGGTTAGATGTAGAGAAGGCCGAGCTGCTGCCGGGGCCACGGGAGTCTTTGTGCGGTCAGCAGAGGGACTTGAAAGGCAGGTGAAAGGACATTGGAGACAAGGCCCTCAGGTCTATGTTGCTTAGGAACTTTGGACCGCCTCATCGCACTCCGCTCTATCAAACCATTCCAAATTAAGATTGCTGGTGTCTCCCGACCAGATAAAAACAGTAATCTCTCAGTCTCGACGAGGCCTTAAAGGCGTTTGCAAGAAGTGTTTTACATAACTAGAGCCCAGTTAATTGTAAAAAAAACAAACAACAACAACAAAAAACACTAGGTCAATGGCTAGTGAGTATCTACTAATAAAATTTTATAATAGTTGCTGCTCTTTATTGAGCGCCTTCTATGGGGAGAACTTCACATGCATTATCATCAACACCATAACAACACTGAAGTGAAAGGCATTATCCCCAGTTTCAGATTGGGCAACCTGCCCAGAGTCACTTAGTTACGCAGCTCGGAAATGATCGACCCAACATGAAATGAGATCTGTTTTATGGGAAACCACTACTTCAGGGAACGTTTCAGTCTCTCTGGGTGTCTGAAATAAGGGCGATTATTTTCAGATACTTCTATGTTCATTCGTTTAACAACTATTTACTGGGGACCCGAGATATGCCAAACAGAGTATTATTACTACATGTCTAATCTCCTCTCCTAAAGCATAAGATTCTTAAAAGGTTATAGATAATCTTATACCTGGTATATGGTAGATAATAAGCTTCCCCCCCACGCCCACCCCGCCTTGAGATAGGGACTCACTCTCACCCAGGCTGGAATGCAGTACATGATCACGGCTCACTGCAGCCTTGACCTCCCCCGGCTCAGGTGATCCTGCCTCCGTCTCCCAAGTAGCTAGAACTACAAGTGCACACCAGCACACCCGGCTACATTTTTTGCATTTTTTGTAGAGTGGGTGCCCGGCTAACCAATAAACTTGAGTGTCCTTTATCACACTTGCCCTCGAGGGCAGTATTTGCATCTTACACATCTTAATTTTCCGCATGTTCCATAGCCCCAGGGCTTGCAAATAATACATGATCAATTTTTTTTTTTTTTTTTTTTTTTTTTTGAGACGGAGTCTCGCTCTGTTGCCCAGGCTGGAGTGCAGTGGTGTGATCTCGGCTCACTGCAAGCTCCGCCTCCCGGGTTCACGCCATTCTCCTGCCTCAGCCTCCGGGTAGCTGGGACTACAGGAGCCCGCCACCAAGCCCGGCTAATTTTTTGTATTTTTTTTTTAGTAAAAACGGGGTTTCACCGTGTTAGCCAGTGATGGTCTCGATCTACTGACCTCGAGATCTGCCCGCCTCGGCCTCCCAAAGTGCTGGGATTACAGGCGTCAGCCACCGCGCCCGGCCAATATATTTTATTGAATGAATGAGCAAAGATCTCTTTGATAGGGTGTGAAGTACCAGTTTTGAGAAGAACATTAGAAATGAGAGTCTCAGCCAGGCACGGTGGCTCATGCTTTTAATCCCAACACTTTGGGAGGCTGCGGCGCAGGGATTACTTGCTACCAGGAGTTTGAGACCAGCCTGGACAATATGGTGAAACCTCCTCTCTACTAAGAATACAAGCCTAGTGGCACGCGCCTGTAGTCCCAGCTACTCAGGTTACTGAGGCAGGAGAATTGCTTGAGCCTGGGAGGTGGGGTTGCAGTGGATGGAGACTGTGCCACTGCACTCCAACCTGGGCGACAGAGCAAGACTCCGTCTGAAAAACAAAATAAAAAAAAACCTTCATACTTGTAAAACTTAGTTAATTGTGGAAAGCCATAAAATGTGACTTCATTGCAAGCTCATAATAGTTCATAAACTGCACTTATTGTTAATCAGTTCAGATACAAACAAACTCAAAATGACATGATTGATTCTTAAAATTTTTTTCTGCCTCTGATATTTTCTTTAAAAGCACTTTTTAAAAGAGTAACTTTTAATTTTGTGAAAGCAGTTACAATTTGCTGCTTCTCTGCATAAGGTTGTAACAAGTTTGAATCAATTATAAATTCATCTGATAATTTATAAGCTGAAGCATAACCCAGAAATTGGTTTATACTTTGACATGTTACTGGCTGTGTAATCCCAGACAACTAACTTCACTTAGTCCCAGTTCTCTTTTTCAAAAAGAGGGCATTTGGGCCGGGCGCAGTGGCTCACACCTGTAAACCCAGCACTTTGGGAGGCCGAGGCAGGCGGATCATGAGGTCAGGAGATTGAGACCATCCTGGCTAACATGGTGAAACCCCGTCTCTACTAAAAATATAAAAAGAAAATTAGCTGGGCTTGGTGGCAGGCACCTATAGTCCCAGCTACTTGGGAAGCTGAGGCACGAGAATGGTGTGAACCCGGGAGGCGGAGCTTGCAGTGTGCCACTGCACTCCAGCCTGGGTGACAGAGTGAGACTCCATCTCAAAAAAAAAAAAAAAAAGAGGGCATTTGATCCTTAGATCTAATTTGATCCATTAGAACCTATTAGGTACTAAGATCCTATTCATCTCTGAAATTCAATGAAACTTTATCATATAACTTCTCTGAGATTAAGTCAACTCATCTGGGTAATCTTGTCTTACCTGCAATGATACGGCTCAAGTCTGTTCAATTAAATTCATACAAATTTAAGATATTAGTCATGCTCTATATAACCACGTTTCTGTCAGTGAGGGACCACATGTGGTCCCTTAAGATTATAGTGGAGCCGAAAAATTCCTGTCACCTAGTGACATGGTAGCTTTCAAAATGTTGTAACACAAGGCATTACTCACGTTTGTGGTAATGCTAGTGTAAACAAATGTACTGCACTGCCAGTCATCTAAAAGTATAGCACATATAATTATGTACACTGCTGAATACTTGATAATAAATAACTATCTTACTGGCTTTTGTATTTACTATCGGAACATATCCTGTCATTAAGTGATGCATGACTGCATTTTCACAGAATTCTGTGAATCCTAAACCCAGCAGGCATGGTCACGGGGAAGAGAAAAATGTCATGGAAACAAATTTGCCTTTGGAACTAAGTCACCTTTCTGTTTTCTTGTTCCCAAATTTTATTCTAGGAGGCATTTTTCCCTAAGGCAGCCCAGCTGCCTGGGACTGCTTTAGATTGGCCTTGTCACTCCCATCTACGCTCTACACGCCAAATTCTTGAGTGTAGTTTATTATTGCTTTGTTTCCCTTGTCTGCCTCCTCATCCATTGAAGTTTATTTCTTCTATATCTTGTACACTCAAGATCAGGCATTTTGCCTTCCAGAATAATAATCATAGAAAATATCAATTCGTGCTAGAAACAATATTTTTATTTTTATAATATAACCAAAATAAAGTGTTTTAAATTCCTGGAGTGCCTGTTTTATTTAGTCTGAATAAGAGTGTATCAGATAAATGGAGAGAGCCAAAAAAAATTGGAGGTTAATTAAGGACTAATATAGTTAATAACTCCAATATAAGTTACTGAAGCCATAAAAATAGGCAGAGTCTTCCAAAGAAGTTTGTAAAAAGTTATTGATTTAGTTCTCATTTTAAAATAAAAATGAATGCCTTATACACATAAACTCTGGTTCTCAAAGCAGTTTCACACAACTAACAATCCTGAGCCCTGGGCCTGATGGCTGTTCCAATTATACAGAGTGGAACAATAGAATAGTAACATATCTTACCAAAAGTCACCCAGGAAAGAGGAACACAGGTCATCAGACTTTTAGTTGAATAATTTGCCACTACACTATGCTTCTACAAGTTGATAGTAAGATGTTTAAAAAAAAAAAAAAAAATCACAAATCAGTTTTTTTTTTTAAGATGGAGTCTCGCTCTGTCGCCCAGGCTGGAGTGCAGTGGCACGTTCTCGGCTGACTGCAAGCTCTGCCTCCTGGGTTCACGCCATTCTGCTGCAGCCTCCCGAGTAGCTGGGACTAGAGGTGCCTGCCACCACGCCCGGCTAACTGTTTGTATTTTTAGTAGAGACAGGGTTTCACCGTGTTGGCCAGGATGGTCTCTATCTCCTGACCTCGTGATCCGCCTGCCTCAGCCTCCCAAAGCGCTGGGATTACAGGTGTGAGTCATCGCGCCCAGCCCACAAGTCAGTTTTTAATCAAATTCCAGCATGCTGAAAGGCTGAGGCAGGAGGGTCCCCTGAGCCCAGGAATTCAAGACCAGCCTGGGCAACATAGGGAGACCCTGTCTCTACAAACAACAACAAAAAAGGAACTCCCCAGTTATTATAGTAAATCTTCTCAAGTGGGGTTTTGTTTGCCTGTTTTTTTGCTATATTTTACATTTTTCAATCATAATCCTCCTAGGTAAGAATGTAAAGGGAACTGTATGAGTGGGTCATCAGTCATATTTTTGTCACAGAAAAAGTCTGTGCAATATAATGAGATTCAGCATAAGCTAATACCTCCTACTTCTATGTTGCTGGGGGAGGATGGTGTCTCTGCTATTTTGTGACTTATTCTCAACCAGCTTCTCAGTGGTGTGTGTGTGTTTGTCAAGACGGAGCCTCATTTTGTCGCCCAGGCTGGAGTGCAGTGGTGCGATCT